CTATTAACATCTATGCCAGCTAACAATATTCAATATGATTATTAAAACATTGTGATATAAAACTTAATATATTAATTCATAAATATAATGTCACATAAATAAAATATTTATGTAAGATCTCATATAACGTGACATAAAATATTGAGTAAATAATGTTCCTTTTCACTTAAAACTTATTGAATTTAATTCAAATTGTAATATAATTGTTAAATAATTTTGTACTATAATTACAATTTAAAATATTCTTTCTAAATAAAATTTCTCTTGATATAATTTGATTTTTTAAATATTAGATATTATACCTCAATAAGTTAAAATTGACCTATTTTAAAATTAAGTAAGTAGGTAAGTATTTTTATTGTCGCAAAATGGTATAAGATCAAATTAATAAATTTGATTATTGCTAACGTAATTATAAATAAATATTTACGAGTATTGCAATTCATTATATAAAAATATATGATAAAATATTGATAAAACTGGGTAGCTTAAAATAAAAATAAAAACATATTACTTTACTGTAAATATTTATGTATTTGAAATAAATAATTATTTTTATGATTGGATAAAAATATAAATAAATCTGTCAGGTTAAAGTCTAAAATTTACATCTTTCGCCATTCTTTGATTTAACCCTTAACGTGGCAGGAAGTAAAAATCTTTAAAATATGTACTTTTTTGATATATTTGGTGTTAATTATGACTAAAAGATACGAAAAAAATAAATAAAAAAATCTAGATATCCTAGGTTTCGAGAAAAACTATGTACATCACAATGCACACTGCCAATTATGCCCAAATGTCGATATTATATTGTTTGTACATTGTGATGGACATTGCCAGGTTGATAATAAAATACATTTTTAATTTAAATTGTATATTTATTGTAATGAAAAGGATGAAATATTAAAAAATCTTAATTATTTTGTGTGAAAATTACGGAAGCAATTACGTTTTTGTTTTCCCACAACAAAACATAAATGCACGTTACATTTTATACAGAAGACAGTTGTCCTACCACTTTTGCAGTACTTGCAACGCATTGTTTCATCCCCTGCTTCTGGAAGATGACCCTTGTCATCGAATCGGACGCTATCTGTTGGACGAACGGAGACTGGTTTATGGATTTTTAGATCCTCGCCTATGTCTTCTGTGGCGTTTATACCTTTTACTATTTTATTTGATTTAGTCAATCCTTCGAACAATTGAAATCTAAAATCCTTTAACATAATATTTTTCCCATCTCGTTTATGCAAAAGCCAAGCGTTATTAATACACATATCAATAAGTTGTGAAAATATTCCTAAATACCAACGATGACTTTTAAAGGGGGTTCTATATAAAGATATTAGCATGTCCGCCAAATCTACCCCACCCATGTGTTTATTGTAATGTTTTACAATTTGGGGACATTCTACATGTACCTTCTTTTTCTCATCTTTATCATATCGCTTGATAGTTTCGATGGGGTGCGAGTCTATATAAGAGCTAATAAGTGTGACGACCTTATTGTCGTTCCACTTCACCACCGCCAGCTTGTTTTTATTACAGACAACTTGAGCGCTAGAACCACGTTTCTTCTTCTTCATTTGTTGGTCCGTTGGCAATAATTCCTGACACCCTCGTAAACGATTAGTCCTTATAGTACCGAGACTTAGAATGCCGTACTCTTCTCGCAGTATGTGCGTTAGTTCAAGTGACATGAAAAAGTTATCGGCGTAAATAATGGCCGGCTTTTGCCTTATAGTTTGGCACAATGCAATCACTACTTTGCCCCCCAAACCAATTGAAGCTTCTTTGTCCCTAAATGTCAGTCCACGAAACGTGTCATCGCCACCATAAAGAAGAAAATCGTATATAATACCCGAAACTCCCGCACGCACGAAATTCTTGAATCCCCATTTTTTGGGTTTCATTTTTACATATTGCTTCCTTTTACCTGCTTTACGACCTTTATAAGGTATCATCATCTCGTCTATAGAATATTTTCCTTCTTCTTCAACTTTCAAAAAGTTTTGCCGTATTCTTTCCATTACGGGACGAATTTTGAAGTAGCGGTCTGAATCTTCTAAGGTGTTATTAGCAAAGTGAAGGTACCGACGTATTTGTTGATACCTTTTGAGAGGCATAAGATCAGCAATGAGAGGGTATCTTGTCCTTTTACCCCAATAATCTGTATAGGCTGGCATATGTACTATACCCATTAACATTTGAATGGCTAGAAAGTTTTTTATCTCATCTTCTGTCAACTGTATAGATCGCCCTAGTTGTTGCACTGAGTATAAATTTGTATTATGAACAATGTCAGTAATTATATCAGGTGAAAAAAAGTAGTAAAAATAGTCCAGGGCTGTATCAATATCTGTTTGATGGAGGTCGTATAGGTTTTCTTCGAGACAAGCACTATGACGGAATACTGATTTGGACCAATGATAATCTAGAACAAATTTCTTGACCGCAACTTTTTTGGTCACTGCATTCCTTGTTGTCTTCTTACGCTTAGACCTGGTAAGTGGCAACTGTTGTCGGCTAGTGCCGGGCTGAGGAGACGATTGTTCAACGGTTGGGGTTGGTAAAGACTGTATGGAGTTCAGTGTAGGTAAAATGTTGTAGTTGCTTGTAGTCGGTGATGGAAAAACTTCGTTGAATATTGGCGTCAGAGGTGCATCTACAGAGATATCAATCTGCTCTTTATTGGATTCAGTCGAGCTATCTAGTAAATTGAGGCCCTCAAGCGAAGACGCTAGCGAAGGTGGATCAGAGGTATCTGGAGAAGGTGGTATATATACGTTGGTTTCTTCATCGGACGAAGAACTACCCTCAGAACAAGCATTTTTTTCAGGAACCAAAGCCAAGATTTTGTGCGAGCGAGTTAGTTTTAAATTCTGCAGACAAAATAAAAAAAACAAAAGTCAAAACCAACACCTTCTGTCAAAACATTACAAAAATAACAAGCAAATACCCCAAAACAATCAAAATCCAAATACTTCGTAAACCTGGCAATGTACAGTGTGGTTACCATAGTTTACGGTGAGTACTTCAGCGTGTCATTGGCAGCGTGCAGTGCAATGTACATTCAATTCTTTTATCAAATGCGTGAGATAGTGTTTAGGTAGCTACGTAAACATGCACTAATTGAATGCTGAATATTCTTTACATCAAAGCACAGACAAAACATTGCCAAGTTTCGAGCCAAAAAGTAAAAAAATAAATAAAACACTTACTCGTGTCACACGTACAGCTTGTTGCTTCGCGGCCATTTTGATTTTGACATGTGTTTAATAGTGTTGTCACAGATAAATAATTTTCTACCAATTCTACTGTATTTGACAATATATTGATGAAAAACAGAATTATTATTTTTTCCAAAACTAATGAGATATATTTTTTTTAAATGTATGTACAGTGTGATGTACGCTGTCAAGTTAAGGGTTAAGAAATAAGAGTATATTTTGCCTTAAATAAAATTGGGTGTCACGATGATCTTAAACTCCTAAACGTTTTCCATTAAAATTTCATTATTATTATAGTCTTTATTAAGAGCTTAGCAAAATGTAGAAATTTTTCTATTTCGTTATTATTATATAAGTACCCTTTTCACTTGATTTTGGTAAAATTCCTCAATTATTATTTTTTTATTTATTTATTATTATTAAATTTTATTACGATTAAATAAAATCATCTTAGCCATTATTTCGCTAGAACTATAAATATTTTTTTTTCGATTACTCGTAACATTAATGAACGCAGTTAACATTTGGCTCATCATTGTTCAGTCAACCTCCATATTTTGGAAGACTAACGGAAACATTTTATTAGACATTACACATTAACATTTTTTTTCTCTAAATCTACATACACAAATTCATACAACGTGTATACGTACGATTCTAGAAATTTCGATAAGGTATTTTACTTTTAATGTATTTTTTTTTGCTCTTACAAAAAATGTTGACACAACCGAACATTTTGTTTTAAAAACTATTTTCTTTTTTTATTTTTAATGTTCACGAGTAGGTACTTAGTCGATCTATTTTATCTAAATGCTTCTATATTGTTAATTTACTGGTTATTTATAAATATTATTTTTATTATTTATTTAAGACTCTTTTCACTATATTATTATTTATTTCACAAAAGCAGAACACTGACACGATGTGTATATATTTTTCTAATGTGTTTTTATGAAATAAAAAAATCATTATTTATGATTGAATTTATAATAATGCAATAAATAAAATTGCTTTCTGAAAATAAAATCTAAATTGGACACGAAAAATATATTTACCTTATAATGTTACTAACGCACATCGATGCATTTTTAATTAAGCATATTATTATTATTATTTACTATTATTAAATTTTCCATTAATGTATTATTACTTATACATAGTTAACACGTTTGAACGGAAATCGCGAAGTCTTTATGGACAAAAAATAAAAACGATTTTGAATTCATTCTTAGAGCATAAATGTAGTTAACAAATTTAATTTTCATTGAAAAAATCTGGCAAGTTGGTGTATTCTTATGATCAATATAATCATCAAATTCTTTTTAAAATGCTCTAAGAATTTCAAGCTGTAATTTTTCAAGAATGACTCTTCTTCTTGTCTTAAATTTAGTCAACAAAAAACGGTATTTTTTTCATATAATTTCATTATAAAATGCAATATGACATGTTATCTAACGGCCTTAACATACATTTCAAGCACAACATAAAAAAAAACAACTATCACACACACCAACATTACTAATCAGTACTACACACAACACAGCTGTTAAACGACTTGCGACAAAAAAGGTCGCAGGTACGACCAAAAATTCGCGGGTACGACAAAAAATCTGTTATTGCGACAAAAAATCGCGTTTTGTGTGCGGAAACTGAGATTATGAGGGTACGTATACACTGCCACCAAGCGTTTTTTCTATTAAATGATCCACTTTAGCAACACGTCTATGATTTAAGGTCTAGATAAGAGTTTCTTTCCCTCCGTACTTCTCAAGGTACGAATATGGGCACTGGCTTCCGGGAGGTTCTCTCTTCGGCCTGTGGTCTGCATACTAGTTTTTCGACGTCAATATTGTCACGAACTCTGTAATGTACAAGAAATAACAATTAATATTATTTTTGTTACACTTCTTGATTTTGCTGGATTTTGCCTTTAGATGAAATCTCATAATTAGTTCTCATAGGTAGGTGCTGGGATTGTGCTAAGTTATTTGTTTTCGCCAATTTTATCAACAAATACTTATTTTCCAATGAAGGAGTCATTGGAAAATATTTGTTTCGTGTCGAAACTATTTTATCAAATCGATTGAATCTGACGTAAGAACACACTTACATATAAGGGCTTACCATCTATCAGTCAAACAACAAAAAAGAAAAAACATTTTAAAATTTAGAAAACCCCCGACAAAAAATCTGATATTCCTTTAAAAAGTAATAATTATAATTATTATAAATTGAAAATTTAAAAAGCCCCCGACAAAAAATCGTTTTTTCCTTTGTATGAACATGAAAACTATGTAAAAGAAAACGTGACGTTGGGGACCGATCCAAACATTTTATTATCAACTACATATTTCTATTTTTTCGGGGGTCTAATTTATTTTTTTATTTGATTCTTTTTATATGATTTTCTCTCGATTAAGTCATCAACATTCCCATTTTAGTGCACTTTCATTTGAGACCCCCCTCGAGTTCACCACTCGGTTACTCTTCCCCACTTACCCCCCCATAGCTTCTAAACGGCTCAACCGATTTTCGTCAAACATGTCTAAGAACATTCGCACGTAAGTCTCCTTTAATACAAGAAAACTAAATTTAAATCGCTTCACCCGTTCAGGCTCCAGGATGCCACAGACAGACAGATAGACACGTGAAACTTATAACACCCCTCTTTTTGCGTCGGGTGTTAATAATATGTTTTAGTCTAAGTAAATTTCAGAAATATTTCTTGAGAGAGACAAAGCTTGTGTTTATCCTGCTTCCTACTATCGTAATACTAACATGATAAAAGCGAAACTTTGTGATAGTATATGAATGTATGTTTGTTATTCTTTAACGCAAAAACGACTCGACCGATTTGGTTGAAATTGGTATGTAAGTACAACAAAACCAAGTAGCCTATTTATTACTTTTAATCTACCACGCGAATGAAGCAGGGGCAAAAGCTGGTATATTATAAAAGTATAAACGTGAAACTTCATAAGAATGTATGTATGTATTTATGTATGTATTCTTTTTCGCAAAAAACCGATTTTGTAGATACTTCAGTGATACCTCGATTAAAACATAGGCTTACTTTATCAACATACTTGAAGCTTGATCAGTAACTTGTATTATAATATTAGCCTATGAAATTGCCGTTCTGCAGTACTGGCCATTTCAAATCAAAATAGTTTTTGTTAGGCTAAGGCTTAATAATTTTGTTTTAAAAACATGGGATTCTTATTCCAAAAGTAGTCATTTGTTTATTGATTAGTGTTACATTTTCATCGCATTTCAAATCAAAAAATTCGTTTAAATTTTTTCATGCAAAACGGCAATTTCAAGACCTATTAATAACGTGATATCCTTACCATCGTAATTGACCATTCCGTCACCATCGAGGTCTGCCTCGCGGATCATGTCGTCAACCTCCTCCTCACTGAGCCGCTCCCCCAAGTTGGTCATCACGTGACGCAGTTCCACCGATGATATCAGACCGTCGTTGTTCTTGTCGAATACCCTGGAATTATTTGGAAGAGCCTTGAGTTTTATGAATAAAGTTTGGTTTTTCGTAGCCGTAAAACTTAAAATATTGTGGACCGAATTATTTGATGTTTTTATAGAATTTTGATGACTTAGATGCTAACGACCACCGCAGATAGGGCCCTATAGAGCTGACGTTCAGCCGGGGTTGCGGGACAAGTGCAATGTGTCACCGCGGCCTCGGCCCACAGCAGGAGAAGGAACAGGGTTTAAGTCAGTAAGAGTCTGACACTCTCTCACCATGTACGTGGCACCCAGACCCGGAACAACAATTTGTAGATCACACAAAGAGTTGTTCCGTGCGGGACTCGAACTCACGACACGTTGCGCGGCAGCCAGTTGCCCAGCCACCGCACCAACCGTGCAGCCAAAAAACAATATTGGTATACTTAGATTAATTTTTGAGATTTATTATTAACTATTAACGATATCTAGTCATACCTGAAAGCCTCTCTGAGTTCATCTTCTCCATCAGACCCGCGCATCTTCTTGGACATCATTTGGAGGAACTCATTGAACTCGATGGTACCGTTTCCATCCTGGTCCACCTCCTTCACCATGTCACGCAGCTCCGTCTCTGAAATTTACAATAATAAAAATTTAATGTGATGTAGGTACATGAATTTAATGAAGGCAAAAAGGCCGAAGATCCGAAGAATAGTTAACTTACACTCACGGCTTTTTTTAGTACACAGTGATGTACACACTAGGATTTTCTCCTGTGTCTTGACTGCTTTTACAAACATACAATTTCATACAAATCAAACCTAAAGTAGTTGTTCCTTGCAGGAATCGAACCCACGGCACGTTTCGGGGCAGCCGGTTGCCCGGTAACCAAATCAACAGTCAATGCTAATATTTAATATTATAAAGAGGTAAAACTTGTAACTTTGTATGTAGGGGGTAATCTTTGGAACCGCTGGTCGGATTGCCAAAATTCTTTCACTGATAGATAGCTACAATGTTTGTGGGTGCTATAGGCTATAAAACATCACGCTACGATAAAATGGAGCCGAGCAGCGGGTGAAACGGCGCGAGAGTAGCTAGTAAGAAATATTGTAGGTCGAATACGTATGTTCCTTTTTATCCCGGTAACGTAAAGGGCGCTGACAGAAGCTAGCTTATAATAAACTAACTGCAATATACTGAAATTATGATAAGCCCGGTCTTATGATATCATCTTGTAATATGTAACATAAACCGATGTCGACATAAATTGTATTAAGTTGCCTACGTGAGGTGGTTTTGACATAACTAATATATATAAAGAGTTACTAATATTATATTATATTGTGTATCAGGTTCACACGGATATTCCTGATAAATGAGATATACCTTACAATCCTAAAAAAAAACGAAAAAAAATAAGTTACATTATACTTAATACATAATATCATCACCACCAGCCTATAAATGCCCACTGCTGAGCAAAGGCATCTTCTCGCACGGAAAAGGTTTGAGCATTAATCACCACACTTGCTCAATGCGGGTTGGCGCTTTCAAACTTATAATTAGAAATTAAAAAGTCTAGGTTTCCTCACGATGTTTACTTTTTTAATGATGTTAAGTTCGTTCCAGTGACACACAAAATACAACGAGTGAAAAAAATACAATTATGTTTAAAAAAAGTCTTTGCCTTCCCTTTAAAAAAAAATTAGGGCTCAGGCGAGAGAGAGTGTCCGACTCTTATTGACTAAAACTCCCGCCGTTCCTTCTTCTGTTGATGCTAAAATTAGTGTAAAGACTGTTGTTGTGAAGTTTTCTTACAACGTCAGGAGATACGAAATTTCAGAAGCGATATTCGTCGGCGCCGTGGCTTAGTTGGTTAAAGCGCCTGTCTAGTAAACAGGAGATCGTGAGTTCGAATCTCGCCGGGGCCTTCGTTGTCTTTTTGAAATGTTTCCAAAATATCTTTTAAACGATGTTTCAATAGTTTTTATTGATAAAAACGAAGAAATTGATGATAATTATTACCTAAGTATCTTTACAAAAAGCATGTGCATTTTCATGTCCGGAATTCATTCGGTTAAAAATAGTAATGCGTCATCCGACATTTGGCACAGTTTCTCAGATAGCTTCAGATAACGTAAACAAGAAAATGTTTTATAAATACTACACATACATCCACCTACCAATTGGGACACATGTAAAATGCACTTACACAAATAAAGTGTTTTTATCATTACAAGACTATACGACAAATTAGTACCATTAAAGTATAAAAGAGTGTCATTATCTTCTTGTAAAAGTAATTGTTTTTTATGGCATTGGCTATGGGGCTATATTATGAGGAGATGGACCATTTTATACTGTTTAAAAAATAGGCACAGTCTATGGACGCTCGAAACATCAAAAGAACTTCTTATAAGTACCTAACTCTTCATGCTGCCAGCATTTGGGGCGGGGATGGGGGAGTAGGGGATTAGGTTCTGATTACTGATCAATACTTGTCATTAGTAGATCTTTACGCTGATGAAATTGATACTAAGTATAAGTGGCTTTGCAAAGGCGTTATGCTGTTACTACTCGTCTTCTCTACTACTGATTGGATTAATACCAACTGGTAAACATATAAATTTCCAATCCTATCTATTAAAAAACCGCATCACAATCCGTTCCGTGGTTTCAAAGATTTAAGCATACATAGGGATATAGAGACGGACAAAAGCGACTTTGTTTTATACTATGTGGAGATAAGTCACTTTAAGATGTCTCGTCATATGAACTTTAAATAATTCCATCAGCAGGCAAATTCTCCGTTTTAAAACCATAATTCTATTAAAATTTTCAAATGAAATCAATCCGATATCCACGAAAACAAAGCCTGCTAACATAATACACAGGGATTCGGCCTAATTTAAACCCTCGAGACGAAACCGGCCACGTAATCCACTTTTTAAAACTTCGCAAATCGGAATTCAATAAAATTTTATGATAGCACCTTTTGGAGTTTGCAATAAACTGTATGAAAGTGATTTGTTTACGATGTTCATATTTTTATGGCTAAAACCTTTTGTAACAATATTTTATAGGGTTTTATATATTGTGTTAAATATATCTAACAGGCTATGTTTAGTTTATGCGTCAAATATAACGTGAATTAAGCAGTTGTACACTATTTTTTCATTATAAAATATTTTATTACGTGGTGGATAGGTTCAGACTGCTGGTTCTGTACTTGAACGACCATAGTGGCAGCATCATATAGATCTCTCAACACTTGAACATACCGCCAGTCGACTTCAGTTCTCTCTTCACTTCAGTGTAGCTTTATTATATTATAAATATTTATTGTGTTTATATATTGTTATAGTGTTTATATTTTCTCAGTAATGTGTTGTTGCGCACTTATGACTTTACCCTTCCATATCCAATCTCTCTATCGCTCTAAGGTTTGCTGTTAGAGAACCCAACTCTGGGTTAAGCTCGCCTTTGTACATATTTTTTATAAATGTATTTTTTTTTATAAATATATGTGTGTGCAATAAAGTATAAAGTAAAAGTAAGTAAGTACGTTATTTGCCTTAGCACGCGGAAAAACTCAGCCATGTTCCGAAATACTAGTTACAGGTAATATAATACTACAGAAACAGGAAAATACCCAATAAAGAACAAACTGCACCTACAAATCGGTGCCTTCGAGACAAATTACAGAATCTATTCTTTCTTTGTCTCAGCTAAATTGATTAATTACGCATAATTAATTCCTGTGTTCAATTGTCTATTATACTTCTTTAAAATGCAGAAGGCTGTTTGTGTAGTTCGCAGTTACTTATCGAGGATGCGTTTTCGATATTTTTGGTCTTTCTGTCATCGTATTTAGATAAGCAATTAGCGCCTTCCAAGGACACCAGTACTGAAGGAATTGCATGTGTTTTGCCGGCCTTTTGGAATTTAGTGGATTGAGGGTATTGATATTGGAAAGGGGGGGCAGTGGCTTCCCTTCCTAAGGGTTGGGCTCACACGCCGAAAATTCTTTCACGTCTGTTTTCTTTGTGACCGAGGTATCACGCTAGTCGAACTGGCCCATTGGTGCCAAAACATGGCCCAGACACACATATTAATGCATTTAACTGCATAAGTGTGTGAGCAAATACAGATGTAGCATAATATGCTTAATTTATACCACCATATAATCATGCTATAATCAAATGACAACTTGTCGTACAACGACAGAGACGATTCATTTGTTCAATGTTTTAAATCGATGCCTTTTGTTTTGCGTGTAAGTGAGGTTACTGGATGCCCAGTTCTTCTCTTCACCCCTAAATCCCAATCTCTAAATCCCCAAAAAGTCGGCAAGGCATACTTGCAACTCCTCTGGTGCTGCAGGTGTCCATGGGCGGAGTCGATTACTTACTATCAGGTTTGCCACACGTTTGCCAATATTGAAGCAAAACTTTGTGTGTATTTTTTTACAGGTCCCGCAGTGTTCTATTTGCCTCTAAATATGTATTAGTAATAGTAATACAAGTATATATTATGCATTTCATCCCATTGGGGGTGACAGAAGAGTTAAAAATTATAAAAAAATTAGTTATTACCTGAAGGTCTTTGTCCAAGCGATCGCATGACCACTCCAAGCTCTGCCATCGTGATTGTACCATCTTCATCTTTGTCGAACAGCATAAAGGCTTCCTTGAATTCTGCAGAACAGGTATAAGGTGTTATTTGATTTTAAATCTACCTACTAGACAGTTTATATCTAGTTACTAATCTATTTATTTCTCAAACGTTTTTCAAACTATAACAAACCTTAGTAATTGCAGTTGTATTAAGAGAAAAAAAAAGAAATATCGAAAAATACCCGTAAATATATTTAAAAGAGACTAAAATGAATTGATATTACCTGCTACTTGTTCTTCCGTGAGGCCATATTCAGACTGAAATGAGAAAAGAAATAGAATTAGTTTAAAATTAGTTTTGTTAAAAAACGAAGTCAATATGACTTGGATATGGCCATGGCCGTTGACTTCTGTCTGACTACCAAGCGACCCGCCCCAGCTTCGCATGGGCCTATACTAAATTTCTCGCGTGCGTTCGTGCAGCGGAATGTTGTTGAATTTAAAGATTTTAATTATGCAGATATTTAGTGTATGACGTCGTATAATTGTGTATGGTAAAAAAAAAATTGTGCACGCAACCATTGTGGAGAAATTCACCAAAAACTGATTCCGCTGGGCGAACGTTGTCCTGGCGGAACTTTTTTTAATCCACAGACTTTAGAAGAAAAGAGATGTATCCAAAAATTAGTGTGTATTTGTGTGTAATTGTGTATGTATAAATAAAACTAGTGCATGCATTAACTTCGGAGAAATTCAAGTTTCCGCTACGCGAACGTTTGGCCATTAGCTAGTTTTCATATAAAGCGCTTACATAGAGAGCTGTAAATTTTTACATACGTTGTTTTGAATTTGTTTATATTTGTTTAAAAAACAGATTTAGAAAAAATCGTAGGCTTTAAAAGATAAAAATATAAACGTAAAATACGCTTATTAGGTCTTAGTTCTTAAAGTAAGCTCTTTGGGGTCTAGATTTTCACGTTTATACAAACCTTGTAAGTGTCTGCAACATGTTGCCAAGTATCAATGATGTTCCGTTAGTAATTAAATAGTTATAGGACAAATTTACCATGAATAGATCACTGTTTACAAAGCAGTCAAATATCACGACTTTCTAAATGAATTGCATGGTAAAATGTATGTCAATAATTAGTGTATTCATTCAACTATTCACATGCAAAATTTCATGTCATTAAATTCAGTAATTAAAGAAAAACAATTATAATACTGATGAAGCATCGAAAACCTACATAACCCGACCAAGTTCGGATGGCTACAAAAAAGCGGCTGTGCAATATATTTAGGTAACATCCCAAAATTTACAGTATAATACCGGTATTGAATTGGTACAGGTGATAACACACTTGTTGTTTCGAAATAATTTATTTTTGGACACCTACTTTTTTAAATGTATTTGACTATGACAGAAAGTAGGTACCGTTTACGTAGGTACTTTATTTAAGTATGCGCTTGAGACTTGAGATATAATCTAATTATATTTAAGACAAATAAAATTCATACAGCTAATTTCTATTGAAGATTTCTTCACGGATCAGGATTCTAACTATAGACCCCTTAGGGAAATTAAGTATTTAATTAAGAATTTTATTTGTCTTAAATATAATTAGATTATATCTCAAGTCTCAAGCGCATACTTAAATAAAGTACCTACGTAAACGGTACCTACTTTCTGTCATAGTCAAATACATTTAAAAAAGTAGGTGTCCAAAAATAAATTATTTCGAAACAACAAGTGTGTTATCACCTGTACCAATTCAATACCGGTATTATACTGTAAATTTTGGGATGTTACCTAAATATATTGCACAGCCGCTTTTTTGTAGCCATCCGAACTTGGTCGGGTTATGTAGGTTTTCGATGCTTCGTCAGTATTATAATTGTTTTTCTTTAATTACTGAATTTAATGACATGAAATTTTGCATGTGAATAGTTGAATGAATACACTAATTATTGACATACATTTTACCATGCAATTCATTTAGAAAGTCGTGATATTTGACTGCTTTGTAAACAGTGATCTATTCATGGTAAATTTGTCCTATAACTATTTAATTACTAACGGAACATCATTGATACTTGGCAACATGTTGCAGACACTTACAAGGTTTGTATAAACGTGAAAATCTAGACCCCAAAGAGCTTACTTTAAGAACTAAGACCTAATAAGCGTATTTTACATTTATATTTTTATCTTTTAAAGCCTACGATTTTTTCTAAATCTGTTTTTTAAACAAATATAAACAAATTCAAAACAACGTATGTAAAAATCTACAGCTCTCTATGTAAGCGCTTTATGTGAAAACTAGCTAATGGCCAAACGTTCGCGTAGCGGAAACTTGAATTTCTCCGAAGTTTATGCATGCACTAGTTTTATTTATACATACACAATTACACACAAATACACACTAATTTTTGGATACATCTCTTTTCTTCTAAAGTCTGTGGATTAAAAAAAGTTCCGCCAGGACAACGTTCGCCCAGCGGAATCAGTTTTTGGTGAATTTCTCCACAATGGTTGCGTGCACAAATTTTTTTTTACCATACACAATTATACGACGTCATACACTAAATATCTGCATAATTAAAATCTTTAAATTCAACAACATTCCGCTGCACGAACGCACGCAAATTTCTCTACAATTTAATGGATGTTAATATACACATAAACATTCCTCTTTAATCATTCTAATGTGGAAAAATCATACTTCGGCACGAATTGGTCGGCTCGACCGGAGTTATACCACGGCCTTACAGAAAATCGACGTGTACAACCACAGCGTTGTTTTTTGCCTTGTGATTGAGGTTACGGGAGGCACCCAAAAAATAAATACTTTTTCCTCCCCAATCAGAAAAACTGCAAATGCCTAATCCCCAAAAAGTCGGCAACACACTGGCAACTCCTTCGTTATCGCGGGTGTTCATGGGCCGCGCTGATTGCTTAACACCAAACAATCAACTTTATAGGTGTACTATCTAAAAAAACTGTATTAATAGGGCTACTTTGTTTTATACCTACTATGCAGTGAAGAGCACAAATATTTTATTTAATGTTTTTTCATTTGAAAATTTCACATCAATACGTACAGATACTTGACGTATAGCCAAATCACTAGTTAGTCTTCTCAGTCTTCTATATTCTTTATTATAATTATCTTCTGACGGTTTGGTAGCCGCCATTTTTATTTTCTTTCTATATAGGTATTTAAGTGTAAAGTGCGATAAAAATAATTGCAAGAATGCATTTGAAATATGTTTGTTTGACCATCTATTGTCGTGGTTGAAAACACGACAGTACATGGTTTATGAGGATTTTAATTTTGATTAATTGGTTATTTACCAAATAAACGTAACAATATGGGCATTTATTGGACCACATTTTCTTGTTAGGACGAGATCAGTCATTTTCCCAACCAGCAAATGGCTGCCGTTTAACTGAAGAACTCTGTGTGATCCTCAAAATATAGGGTGTGGCGTGTATGTAAATTTTGCATGTTTATAACCGTACCCAGGACAAAATACCGAATCTTAGCGTAATTCTATATTTTTTTTAAACATGTAAACATTAAGAAAAAAATACGTAGTAGTAGGATAATATAGGTAGTTATTTCCACAATAATTCTTTAATTGTATTTTTACAGGATGATGATATAAGATGTTGGAGGATATAGATCTATTAATGATCTGTCTGTGGTATCGTCATCTATTTTAATGCAGTTTCTTTTACTTTAATGACTGTCATAGATTATCATCATTTTTGTAACTTGCTGAGTTTTAACATGACATCATGAGAATGAATTTTCAGCTGTTTGTGTTTACGTTAATAAAGCAAATTGAGTAAAGTAAGTACCTATTTCAAGACTAGGCCTAATACAAGAAATATAGCATAAAAATGATGCGTTTTGGTATAACGCTATGATAAATTATACAATAATAGCATCGAGCATCATTTAATAAAAAAAATTGTCAATAGCTTATGTAAAAGCAAGTCGAAATTACCGATACGAGCGCCATTGAATTCGATACATCGAAATTTGTACATTATTTTGGCGAATGCCAAGGCAAATGCAAGGTTAAGCTCGTCGTAAGTTTAGTAACATGATTACATGAAGATCTACCTTATTTTTATGAGATAAAAGTTTTTATCATGAAAAAAATTTAAGGATTTTTTCAACATCAAGTTTTGTCATCACAAAACTAGACCTTATTTTTTACAATATAACGAAACTCAATAATAGGATAATTCAAAGATCAATATCAATAGTGCGGTCTTCACTCCAATATTACGCACGGTAATGACCTCACTTCCTTGGCTATCACGTCTTTAAAAACACCCAAATTAGATTCTTTGTTTTTGCAAGAATTAATATTTATCTCTTATTTGTGTTAGTAAATAAATTAATAGACCCCTATTAATTTATTTTTAAGCGCAATTTGGCTCTACGGCGCCGGCCTAGAGCAGGAGAAGGAACGGGGGGTTTTAATCACACTCCGACACTCCCTTCCGCCCGACCCTGGGCGGGACGGGAAAGTCACAAGACGATTTACTTTAAAAAAGAAAAGAAAAATACTAAGACAACTAAGAGATCACGATTTTTATCTGAACTTGGTAATATTATGTCAAGGATATAGGTAATAAAAATTTTACGAGACTTATTTCAATATCATTTTGGCTAACCTCAGGGCCTCACGATGTCTTATTCCCGCCCACAATAAATCCATAAACAATCACAATTGACAGTAACCTTTTTAGTCTGTGCCTAAGTACCTACACATGTATTATTAACAGGAAAAACCCAAAAGAAACCGAATCGTGCTCACCCCGTATTCTGATAACTAGTTATAAACTTTTGCCGATACTTTCAAAGTTTTGCGAAGTTCTTTTGTTTTATCTTTTCAAGGAAAATAAGTAGATAAGGAGATATCCTTTGTTTCATTGAAGCAATACGCTATAATGTTAACGGTAGAAAAGAGAATGGTACTAATATGAGGTTTTTGAAATAGTTTTGAGCGCGGATTTATAAGGTTAAAGTTTGGTTGAACATTTTTTGCATTAAGTTTTCACTACCTACCTATTTACTCATAACAACACATAATTACTGGTGCTAAGTAAGAATAGTTACTACCTATCGACGCACGACTATGGGAAAAGTAGCTTCTTGGACGATTTTGTTTCGAATTTTAAAATATTTTTATTATTGAACTATAATTTATTCATATTAGGTACTTTATTATTTTTTATATTGTAACTGCAACAAAGAACGGCATTATTTCAATGATGGTCACCTTTTGTAATTTATAGA